AGACATAATAGGTAGAGCTTCACGAAAACCCACCGGCGCGGCTGACAGGGTCGGCCGCGCCGTCTCGCATTCTCCTTCGTTTACTTTATGGCAGTGCTGGTCGACGCGATGAATATTCTGAGCGAATGATATGAGCACATAGGACTTGGATAAATTGGCCTTAACTTATCGCGTACTCGCGGATTAAATCGCTGCAGCAAGGTAATAGTCCTATAGCGTAGCTTTATGTTACAAGCAACGACGGCTTGTACCTGGACGCGCATCATCAGGGGGGGGAGGGGGGGCACACTCGTTACTCGTGCTCCTCTCGCGATTTCGCAGCTCGGATATATACGATCCCCTCGTTACGCGCATTCCGCGCGTAATTCGACTTTTTTCTCGTCCCTTTTTAATTGTTTACGCAATTTCTCGTTACGACGAATCTCCGATAAAATCGCTCGAATTTTCCGATCGCGCGGATATCATCGTTTCGGTACGGGGTTTTCCTTGATCCTCTCTCGCCGCCGTGTCTCTGGGCCGGAAATTTGTCCGAATGTCAAATTCGGGGCCGCGCTCGACGCGAGGATTTCAATGCCGCCGTCCAAATACGCGCGCCGTCGCCGATCACAAGAATATTTCTCGACGTATATTAGCGAACATTTAGGAAGCATCTTATAAAACTCGCTCGTAGAGCTCGCTACGAGAGAGCGCCGGCTCGTGAGATCCGTGATTATCTTGAAAGATTACTCGACAATTCGTGCTCTTACATATTCGTACTTGCGAGTGGAGCGCCCACGAGAGGACGCATCCGCGTTGCGCTCGCGGACGGTGTGTTTTCGCGCTGGCTGCGTCGCGCCACGCCGCGTTGCGCCGCGCGCTCGGTACGACGAGGGTGCTTTTTAGATCGGAGAACAGGACCGTATACCTTTTTTTATCGTGCGGTTACGGCCCTCTTTCGAATTACATAGATACGATTGGCAGTGTTACCTTAGTGTGCTTCGTACATCTTATATTGCGTATATGATACATCTCATTATTTATACCGGCATGCACACAGAACCGACGAGCGCTTGTACCCGTTTCTTCGGGGAATCTATTCTTCCTATCTTTCGTTCAATTCTCTATTTTCCTTCCGGAGGAAGTTCGAAGGAAACTTCGGACGACTCGCGCCGACGACGGACAACAGGTATTTCCAAGCGATCTCAATTTCGCCGTTCACGAGTTTCGATCGAATTGTGAGACGCACGATTTTCGGATCGTTACACGAAAACGTCCCCAGCGCAGCGGTCGATGAAGAGATTACCTCGCGCTCGTTAAGACCCGTCTCGATAAGACGAGGCGAACCGTCGAATCCTCACGGGGAAAGATATTATACGACGAGAAAAATACAATTACTCATTTTTACTTTACTTCTCTTCTTTTAAGCAAAGGTTATTCCGAAGAAAGAATATTTTTCTGATACGGTATTAAAATATACTCGTTACAAATATTAGAAAAGCTGATTATGTTTACTCAAAAGGAGAATTTGTTCTCTCTCCAAGAATACTATAAACTTTATCGGAGGAAAGTTAAATTAAGTTTATTGGAATAAGTAAACCGAAATATTGGTTTTAGTATTTTAATTTAATACTCTTGATTGAAGTATTAAACTTACTAAGATTGAAAAGCCGGAAACAAATTTCTCATATGTGAATTATATATAAAATATATCCATATGTAACAATATATGGTTACATATGAATATATATTTATATATATTTTTTATACATGGACATATTTTATATAACACCTTATATATTAGTATAAGTTCGATACTTCAATCAAGAATATTACATTAAAACACTAAAACTTCGGCTTATTTACTTCAATTAGCCGAATTCTAACTTCTCCCCAATAAGGTTTATAATATTCTTGAAAAGAGAACAGTCTTCTTTTGAGTAAATCATAATGAGCTTTTCCATTATTTGTAATGAGCATATTTCAATACTATTATCAAGAAAAAAATATTCTCCGTTCGAGATAACTAACATTTAAAGAAAAGAAAGATAAATTGGCCAATTGTTGTCCTTCGCTCCTCACAAGTAATATTTTTCCGTCGCCGGTGGCTTTTTCGCTTTAGGAGTCCCGTAAGCGGTCTCGCGGCGCACCCGCGAAGTCTCCGGTCGAGTCGTGTTTCCGACCGACCGAGCCGAACTAACGCGGATGCAATCTTCTTTCGCGCGGCTCTGTGCGCGTTAATCCCTCGACAAGCTATTTGGAGTCGGGTAACCAGACTCGTAATACGTGCGTTCGAAGCGGAACAAGTTACGGAATCGCGCGAATTATCCTCCGCCTCTCTTTCTCCGAAGTCGCTGCTGTTTATCCGTCGCTGAGAGGTTTCGCGCGTTTCTTCTCTTTTCAGCGGTTTCCCGCCCTTTTAAACCTTCGAACGACGCATACGAGTCTCGTATAAGAAGAAGAACGGAAGAAGCGGGGACGCAAGCGCGTCGTAAGACCGTCTCGCGTGAGAATATTTACCTTATCAAGTAGATTCGTTCAAAAGTAGTTGAACGCGGAAGTGGCGAGGGGGGGGGGGAGGAGGGACGGGAGGGGATGTTACAACTTTGTGTTAACCGTTAAAATACGCGAATCGTTTGCTCTTCGTTGTACAACAAATCGGATGATGATGATGATGCGGAACAGTCGGAAGTACATACACACTCTCTCTCTCTCTTTCTCTCTTTCTCGGAATGTTCCTCCCGTTTCTCTTACCTTCTCCATTGGACCACATCGCGATTGAATTAGATTGTGCGCGCTATTTATCAAGCCGTGAGTAACCAACGCGCGCGGATGCAAAAATATCGCGAGCGCGATACACACATCGCGCCTGATCTGGTCGGGGTATAAATTTTCCCGTAACATGTAAAAATAGGCTTTCGAGTAGCGTAATCGTAGTAATAGTAGTAACCGTTTTCTGCACCGTTAATTAACACTTCGGCCGCGCGTGCCCAACGCGTACACACACACATTCTCTCACTCTCTCTCTCTCTCTCTCTCTCGGGCGCTTTCTCTCCGATACCGAAATACGACGAAATTCCTTCCGGTGGTGAAGAGAGCTATTTCTCGTGGAAGGTGGTGGTTTAGAGGGGCGAAGTGGAAATGGTTGACGGGGGTGAGAGAGGGGGGCGGGAGATTCGAGTGATGATCACATTACAATTGGAAACCAAACGCGACGATTCCACGCTGGTATCTCGCGCTCTTAAAAAGAACTTACACTTATACCATCGGTATGTACAAGGCCGTCTCTCTCTCTCTCTCTCTCTCTCTCTCTCTTTCTCTCTCTCTCTCTCTAGTCAATACGAGTGGTCGATTGCGTCTTGTTCTTATCACACATAAATATACGTTATAAATAATCCTTATGTTTCTTTTCTCCTTTCATATACCGTGTCCTTAGCGGTTGTAGCACGTGTATGTAAGTATATGTGTTGTGTAAGTGAGTGTACGTACGACTGTGTGTGTCAGTTAGAAGTAAATAGAGGCGGTGATATAAGATTCCGTTCGTCATTTGATATGGTCGTGATACTTTCTTAATACGCATGTCCGCATAATATGCACGTGCAGCAATTGCAGCACCGGGTGCCGACCGATCGCCGACGACATTCGAGCCCCGTCGTTCGTTGTTATTCCTCGATCGACCCTGATCGAACGTTCCCGTCGTCGGTCGCCTACCCTTCGGCTCGCCTAACGATTAGAGTACCTTACTAAAGTATTCGATGTACGGTGATGATACCTATTATTATACCGATTTACTGTATATACTAAGTATTGCATTAATTGCGTAATAACGTGTAATGGGCCCATACAGATCGTAGATTCTTAGTCCGACGACAAAACCGGTCATTGCTTGGGAGGGGAGGGGAGACGGAGACGTTAGTCGAAATAAATATCATTCCCTTACCGAGTTCCTCTCTTTCTCTCTCTCTCTCTCTCTCTCACCTTTCTTCTTCCAACGGACACGAGAGAATACCGTAATACGAATGATTATTGCGGAACCTGCTCGCGATCTTATCGCGTTTTGCCTACGAAAAGGAAAGGAAAACGAATAAGAATAACAGCACGAAAACGACGGGAGGCCGAAATGTGAACCAAAGTTCCAATGATCGCGCGAGGCAAGTCTGGCTCGACTGAATCCGGGAAATTCGACGTTCGTGCGACGAGAATAGTTAGTTCAGAGATGGAAGAGTGCTCGGGGAGCGCTACAATAATAATAATAATAATAATAAATAAACGTTCGAAGCCTCTCTCTCTCTCTCTCTCTTTCTTTCTCTTTCTCTCTCTCTCTCTCTCTCTCTCCTCTATCTCTCTCTGGAGCCGCTTCGTGTGTAAAATATATATATATATATATATATATGTATATGTATCAAAAAACTCCTCTCGTACGGTGGAGACGCCACTCACTTGATCACATGTAACGACGAGTATCGAACGGTACGCACGAACGAAGGGACGCGCGTACAACGTTCGCAACGTGCGCGTGCGCGCGAATTGAATTTCGACGTGAGGTTTGTACACCGGGACGGGGTAGGGGGAGGTGTGGAGAAGGGGGGGGGAGGGCGCGATTTGTGGGACACGCTTGGGGATCCGCGCGTGTGTGTACGTACCGGCGACATCATTGAAACACATAATCCTCGCGTTTGATGATTAATGAGCAAGCATTTTCCATTTACACGGGAGTAGGGTTCCCTACCGCGGATTCGTTACGCATATTTGTATATATATATAATCGATATTCAAGCGTTTACATGAAGCCGGTTAATTATTCTCTTTCTTTCTCTCGCGCACGCGAGTACGAAGCCTCGCGCGGCCGCCGTTCTCTCTCGGACGAGCCTCTCCGCGACGAAGGGAGCTCGTCGCCGCGCGATCACCGGCGCTCGTCAGCCTTACTTTCTCGACGTTGACAGTTCAGCGCGATCATTAACCCCTATTGCAATACCCTCCGTTACACTCCGAGTCTCGCTATTCGGCCGCATGAAACATCCCGGTTACAGGCAGCTGTCGGCCACAATTTCGCCTATTTTCGCGACCACCTCGTCGAAGGTCGGTCTGTCGCGCGGGTCGTTCGCCCAGCATTGAGCCTGGAGCTCCTGCAGGGTCGGCGGCGCCGCCTTGTGCGGCTTCCACGCGAGCGTTTGGGCCTTGAGCTGAGCCAGCACGGACTCGTCGTTCATCTTGTTGAAGGGCAGCTCGCCCTGATGGAACATCTCCCAGACCAGGCAGGAGAAGGAGTATACGTCGCTCTTGGTGGAGTACTCGTCCTCGTAAGCGGCCTCGTAGGGCAGCCATCTGAGCGGGATCACCTGGTTCCGATGCTTCGTGTACTCTTGATGGTACGGCTCTTTGGTCATGCACGGCAGTGAGATCTTGATCGTCAGGTTACTGGCGATCAGGCAGTTGCGCGCGGCTATGTCCTTGTGGACCAGTCGGTTGTCGGCCAGGTGCTTCAGGCCCTTCGCGGCCTGGTTCGAGAGCGCGAGGATCTGCGCGACCGACAGCTGAGGCGCGCGCGGCGGCTTCGACTCGTGCGTCGGGCTGGAGTTGCTGTCCTTGCGCGAGGCGATCAGGAACTGCTTGAGGTCGCCCCAGTCGGTGTACTCGAGGATCATGTAGTCCGGCTCCTCCTCCCGACATAGGCCGATCAGCTTGACGACGTTCTCGTGGCTGAGCTTGTGCAGGAGGTCGAGGTGCCGCTTGAATTCCTGAAGGGCCGTCTCGTCCTTGGTGTTGGTCAGGCTCTTCACCATCACCAAGGACTCCTTGTCGCCGTCCACCTGATACTTGGTCGCGTAGATCTCGCCGAATTCGCCCCGGCCGAGCGGCTTCAGTTCCTTCAGGTTGCTCCGCGACGCCGCGATCTTGTCGTAGTTCGACTTGGACTTCTTCGACTGGTTGCTGCTCTGGCTCTGGGCGGTGTCGGCGCCGTCGCTCTTGTTGTGAGAGTCCCGATTCTCCTTCTTCTTGCTCGTCGAGTTCGTCTTGTTGCCGGTGGTCTCCTTCAGCTCGGTTTGCTCCTCCTGCACGTCGCCGTTCTCCAATTTCTCTGCAATGTCGAAACGCGTGCTGACTCGACTGCGTGCCGGTGTGTCAGCGTGTTTCTGTTTTTACGTCGAGAAACGCCGACGATCGTACCTTCCGTTTGTTCCTGCAGGTACTGCTGCTTCCTGCGGCGACGTCGGTAGCGGCAGTACAGCATGAGGCCGACGACGAGCACCATGTAAGCCGCGGCCGCGCTCAGGGTGATCGTCACCGTCTTGGTCATCATCGAGCCGTCGTCGGAGTCGAGGTCCAGATCGGCTCTGTAACTGTCCCCTGCTGAAACCGAGAGACCGTTATTTCATTAACACTCGTATTCGTAACACGGAGATCGCTAGGAACGATAACGAAAATTCAAAGAAGAGTACCTTTCACGTTCAGCTGAACCTCCTCCCGCTTGAGGCCGCCGCTGTTGCCGGCGGTGCAGCCGTACTTGCCCTCGTCGCTGAGGTACACTTCCTTGATGTACAGACTTCCGTTACTCAACACCTCGAATCGGGGATTGTCCAGGTTGTTCATACGAGAGTCCTTGTCCCACTGAATGGTCGGTTTAGGATCCCCCTCGGCGGCGCAATGCAGCATCACCGGGTACCCCTCGATAGCCTCCGTCGGATTCTGCGGCTGTATCGTGAATTTGGGCGCGACTGCGGAAAGAGATGATCAAGAATCTTAGGTATAAACAGAGAAGCATGAAAGGCAAGGCAAGAAAGATGCTTGATTGGCCGTCTTGATTGGAATCACATGATCCAGACGCCATTTCTGTACTTTTATGATATACAACTTTTCTACTCAGTTTAACCCATTCTGCCTGGGCTTTGTCGAAACTTCCCGGACACCCTGTGTGTCTCGTATTCTAATCGAGACCACATCGATTCGTCCCGCTCGTTCACGCAAACGCCCGCCGATATGCCGTCCCGGATACTCACTGACTACGTCGATGCTGATCGTGTGATTGATGGAGCCCTGAGCGTTGCTCGCTACGCAAGTGTACCGGCCCTTGTCCTCCTCCAGCACACCGTTGAAGTGCAACGTCCCGTTAACGTCCTGCACGTGCCTGGGAAATTCCTCGTCCTCGCCCTCCTTGACCCACTTCACCGTCGGGTTCGTGGCGCCCTGCGCTTTGCACGACACCTTCGCCGTCGAGCCGAGCTCCAGCCGCTTGTTCACCGGCTGCGGCGAGAACTTGAGCTTCTCCTCGACCGTGAGAACCGCCGGGTCCGAGAACATGAACGGGAATCCCGTGGTGAACACCTGGCACATATAGTGCCCCTTATCGGACAGATCAACGCTCTTGAAGTGCAGAGTAACGTTGCCGTGATTGTTGGTAACGCGGTATCTGGTCGGGCCGCCCGACTCCTTCAACTGTACGCCGTCCTTCAGCCAGTGCACGTAAGTCACCGGTGGTTCCATGCCGGAATACGAACAGGTCAGCGTCACCGAGTCACCTTCCATCACACTCAGCGACTCCGGGGAGCTTACGATACTCGGCGGGGCTGAAAAATTCAGTTGCGTTCAACCGATCGCGTCGTCGTTACGCGCACGGTTGCTGCTTTTTGTCTTTACTTCCCTCTCGGCCGCGCGCTCCTCGATCCCAGGTGGAACGAATTTCTAAAAGATCACTTAACCCGAGAATAGTCACTTGGGGTCATTTAGGTCTCAAATAAATGTCGCTATTTACAAATTTGTAGTGAAACTCCACGGGACGACTCGATAATTCTCTTTTAGACATTTGCTCTGCCTAGGATCCTATCCTTCGGTAAGTGGTTCTCAACCTACTTGATATGACTATTTGGACGGATATATCCGTTTCACCGGCGAGATTCTCGGCCACGCAGGTGTAATTGCCGTCATCCTCGTTCATTCGTGCCCGCGCGATGATGAGCGTGTTGTCTTGAACACGCACGGGCCCGGTGTCGCTTATTATGTGTCCCCTGGGATCCCGCCAGTAAAGCTTGGGCTGCGGTAGGCCTAAGGGTTCTAGGCAGCTTATCTGGAATTCTTGATCCTCGCCGACAATCGCCAGCTGGGTTGGACGTTTCGGTTCGAAGGCGGCCATTGAGAAGTTCAATAAATCTAAAAGACACCGCTTACGAGTCTCCGAATTCGTGAACTCCGCTCACTCTGTCTGTGTGTGTGTGTGTGTGTAAAAGTTAAGTCGATCATGTAGTTAATTGTTTTGATTCGTGTTATGAAATTCGAAGCTTTATGATCTCAATATTTTTTCAATAATCTAATTAAATATATAAATAATAATATATATATAATTAGTATATAAATAATACGATTAGATACATGACAATTCAATAAAATATAAATATATAAAATGTAAATAAGTAGTGAAAAAATTGAAATTATTTACTATCGTGTAATTCTTTATAAAGAAATACCAGAAAAGTTACATATTAATGTCCAAAATAGATTTTGTATTATATTATCTGCTATCGTTAGCAGATTGAAGTCAACACCACAACAGATTATTTATTATTATTAAGAGTCTCGAACGAGTTGGGCATCGACTCGTTTGTTACTAGATTAGAAAAATCAGCGAAAAAAAGAGTCATCTCATCCCTTTACCCCGTTTATTTATTTATTATTGTCGACTCTTTTCAGGAAAATCTGCCAATACTCACAGGCAATTTGCAACTCGACCGTATAACTGACAGTAGCCTCGTCCCTCAATCCATGGCAGGAGTAGAATCCCTGGTCCCTTTGTTCGGCAGCGTGTATCATGAGGGTGCCGTTCTCGAAGATCGTCCGCTCCTCGTCGGATTCCAACGGGCCGATCTCTTTGAAGAACCACTGCACGTCGTCTGCGTCCTCGAAGACGCAGTGCAGCGCGGCCGACTCGCCGCGCTTGGCGATCAGGTTGCGCGGCACGACCTTAATCGTCGCGGTCTCGTTTCCGGAAACGATTAGCGGATAGCTCTCGGTCACCGGCGAAGAGCCCGCCTCGTTCTTCGCCAGGCAGGTGTACATACCGCTGTCCTCGACAACCGCCCGGTGTATGTGCAGTTTTTTCTTCTTTATCTCGATGCGCTCGCTTCGCGCCAGGCTCATCGTATTCCTGAGAAAAAGAAGATCCCGAGCTGTGAATGTGAGACTCCGCGTCCCTCGCGAAATGCGGACCGTCTGGTAACAGCGTGAACGAGAAAACTTCTGTTTGAAAATCGTTACGTCGAAAACTTTTCAACGAATAGATAGAGGGGCTCTTTCTCTACGACACATTATACAAAGGGTCCCAATTATTCGATATCCGAGTCCTCTTTCGCAGGTAACTTTAGCATCGCCCTTTCCAGTTCATCGCGACCTCACCACGTGCTTTGTCTCTCCTACCGCTCCGTTAACCAGCTCGCGCACGAATACCGTTGCCGTCTTCAGCTTCGGAATAACCATGGACCGGCGCCGCCGTGCGAAACTCAGCCTCGGAGGAGCCTGACGTTTTCTACTTTCAACGCGCGGCGCACCCGACGTCATTAAACACCGACCCCTCCCCCATTCGAGCCACGCGTTCCGGGGGGTGCGTCCCGCGGCTCTCCGAGACGTAACTTGCTCGGGAAGAGGAGGAGGGAAGGGGGTGATTCGAGGTGACGGCGGAGAGGTGAAACTCAACGACAGCGTGCCGGCGAGGGAGTGTCACTTCATAATTCACCAGGTCGGTTCCGTAAACGTCGGGTGTCAGTTACGCCAGGAACTTAGTTCCCCCTCCCCC